TATTTCATTATTAAACTTAAATTAAATTATAATAAAAAAACAAATTAAAGAAATTACATAAAAAATGAAAACTTTTAAATAGTTGATTTGATATTAACATTGATTTTTTTTTAGATTTTTATGATATCTTCAAATTTATATTTTATTCAAAAATAAAATCATTATTGTTTTCTTAAAAACACATAAAATCGTATTATAACATCGACAAAAACAAATAATAAAATAGAACATTAAAATCGAGATGTCTCTCGCTGCATTGCGCGGGTACTCTTCTAGTTATTGATAACATGTCATAATTTCAATTTTAAGTATGACGGAAAATCTTAGTTGAGATTTTATTTGGGTCGCGTCATCCTAAAATGATGAATTTAAAAGTTGGTTCCTCAAAAATGAACCAATGACTGGACAAGTAAACATACATTGGAATCATGAATCGTTACTGCATTGAAAACGAAATCTATCATTTACTCTCGTTTTGTAACGCTATTTGCTTTAGTTATCGATACATGGTCGATTAAACTTAGAATCTTATGGTTAATAGATGACAAGCATCGAGAGAAAGACACACACTCTCACACACACAAATACACACACACACATACAGGGAGAGCGAAAGACTCTTGGGATCATGTGAGACGATCATCTTTTTGCGAGATGATCATAACTTATGGTTAATATATGCGTACGACTTTCAAAACGTTAACTTCTGATACATCTTTCAAGTATTACTCTACTGTAACTCAAGAAACTACAACCAATTTAACGACAACTACATTTAGACACTGATCATAACCTTGAATATAAACAAACAACACTTGAAGGGGAAGCCAACAGTTGTCGGGAATGAGGTCATCCAAACTGAAGCAAACGACCCACAGTTCGATCATCGACCAAATACAAATGTCGTGATTAATCCCAAATTTAGAAACCGACATGCAACATTCATATATGCTTTAACAGAACAAAACAAACATGCATCAAAAACGAAAAAAACAAAACACATTTAAAGCAACTGACTAAACCAACGTAAAAGCATATAATTTGTTGCCCTAACTATAATTAGCGGAATTTTGAATCGGCCATAAGTCTTGAAAACCAGCTCAAATACTGTTAATTTTTTAACAGAATATAGTATATGCGTACACAACATGCGTATGCAGTATGAAAATACATGCACTACGACCTCGTATGACAGTTTTTATAAGAAGAAATTGAAACTCGACGTTGTAATAATAATCGTTACATGTATTTTACGTTTTTGGTATTTTAATGAACATATGGAACATAGAAGAGAAGGAAGGTGTTAGGGTTTGGTTTGGAGTAGAATTGGTAACAAAATTGGGATTTAGGGTTAATAATAACAAAATTTCTACAAATTGTGAAGGTTAAGCATAAAACTCCCCCCCTCCCTCCCCCTCCCTTCCCTCACACCAAAAAAACCAACACCAACACAAGAAAACTTCCGAAATCCCTTTTCCATCTCTCTCACACACACTAAGATAAAATCTCTTCTGCACGGCGTAATCAAAGCGGGTTCTTGGTGTTTTTCTCTCATTCTACACTCTGCGATACCATCTCGTAGTATATACCTACATGCTCGCTGTATCTATTGTATCTGCGTCCCTCATAAAAGCCAATTGAAACCTTTGGGTTTCTTTCGTATTTCACAGATAAACAAATTTCAAATTTCCCATTTGTAATCAATCTCTAAATCGCACTGACAGACAAAAGAGCAGAGGCGGCGTCTTAGGGTTTTTTCGGGTTTTCGTTTTAATCCAAGCCGTTAAGGGTTAGTCCGTTTAATTTTTGATAATTTGTGGTTGGTACTACAAATTTACAATACCCTTTTCTTGATTTTTCACCGGGTGTGTTTTACTGTGTTCGATAGACAAACCCTAGGGGTTTCAATTTGTCTGGCTTAATTGTGGTGTTTTGGGTTCTAGGGTTTGTTTATTTGTAATGGGCGTGGGCTAATTCATCCAGAAGGGTTCTATTTTGTGTTTTCAGATGATATAAGACGGTTTTGGTTTCCTGGGGGTGCTTATTGAACCTGTTTATGAGACGAAGGTCTTGTAAGTTTGTTCAATCGTGAGTTATGGAAGCCTTCTGAATACTGAGAAGCTTTTGTTGATCTTTGTTCTTGATCGGAATTTGGAACTGGAACCACAGTATATACAAAGTGTTAGGGAGATAAAGAGCCCTATTTTACAGTGTAGTTGATAGTTCAGGATTCTTTTATTGGACAGTGGTGGTGGTGCTCTTCAAGGGTTAGAAATTTACTTTGGAACCTGTCAATGGTGTTGATGGTTGGAATAAACTGATTAAATTGATTATCTTGATTCATTAATCGACAGCAAATTGGGATTTAGTTGGAGGAAAAGGTGGAAGTATTTGAGAGTTATTTCTCTGATGCATGTTGAGGCTTTTATGTTTGCTTCTTATGATGTTTAATACCAATTATGGAAAGAACTGAGCCAACATTTGTGCCGGAATGGTTAAAGAGCAGTGGAGGCTCAAGCACAACATCCCACCAATTTACATCATCTTCATTGCACCCTGGTAATTCTTATATTTATGTCTGTTGTTTCAATAAATATGGTGTTAATGATCATAATATCTGTTTTGACTATCCATCTGATGGTATCTTTCTTGCTGTAGATGAACAAGGCTCATCAAAGTCCGGGAGAAATAAGTCATCAGTTAATAGCAGCGATAACGATTTAGGACGTACTTCTGTTTCAGATCGAACAACTTCCTCATATTTCCGCCGCACTTCCCTTGGTAATGGTTCGACTCATCTACGGTCTTACAGTAGTTTTGGTCGAAACCATCGTGATAGGGACTGGGATAAGGACATATATGAGTTTTGGAGTAAAGAAAAGTCAGACAACAGACATCGGGATTATTCTGATCCTCTAGATAACATTTTGCCAAGTAGGTTTGAGAAGGACGGGTTAAGGCGGTCACATTCAAGTGTATCCGGAAAACGTGGAGAGTCATGGCCCAGAAAAGTAGTAAGCGACTTGAGCATTGCCAACAAAAGTAGCCACAGCAATGGCACTGCTTTACTTTCTGGTGGTAGTTCCCTTAGCAATGTGAAGACATCTTTTGAGAGGGATTTTCCATCTCTTGGAGCAGATGAAAAACAAGCAGATCCTGATATAGGAAGGGTCCCATCACCTGGATTGAGCTCAGCCATTCAGAGTCTGCCAATTGGTAACTCAGCTGTGATTGGTGGTGATGGGTGGACCTCAGCACTGGCTGAGGTGCCTGTAATTGTTGGTAGCAATGGAAATAGCACCTCTGTTTCACAACCTGTTCAACCAACTTCAATCACTGCAACTACAAGTATGACAGGAGGTCGCAATATGGCTGAAACCTTGGCGCATGGTCCTCCCCGTACTCAGACTGCTCCCCAGGTAGCGCAAATGCTTCTCATGGGTTCCACTATAGTATATAATCGCATAGTGTATGTTTACATTTAACTTTTTATTGATTGCAGTTGACTGTTGGAACTCAAAGGCTCGAAGAGCTTGCTGTTAAGCAGTCCAGACAGTTGATTCCCATGACTCCTTCCATGCCTAAAGCCTTGGTAAGGGTTATCTGTCCCCTTGTTTATTTTTCATACCCCATAATCTGCATTTTTGTTTCTGTCTTGTAATATTTATACCAGGCCTTTTGTTTCATATTCTAATGCTTATTCTGCGCCTTAGGTGTTTGATTCTAGGAATTCTGTTCCTGTAAAAGTAGATACTCTGTCTTTCGTGGTATGAGGCTCAAACCATGTTTGTACTTCTTTTGTGGAGGTTTTACCCTCAATCCTTAAATTTGAAGTAATGGTTTATTTCGCGCCTAATAGTTAGGAGCTTCTTGGTTTATGTAGCATAAGTTCTTTCTGCAGGCATGTATTATAAAAAGTGTTCGAAACTTAAAATACGTATTTGCAAAAATTTAAAAGGAACTTCTATTTAGATGGACTGATTTTTTTATTTCATAATTTTGTATCAAATAATAATGTATGTGACTTTCATGGGTCAGAGGAGGTATCCTTTTTAATAACATCAACAACTCATTACCATCACAACTGAAGAAGAGAGTAGTTATCAGGGCTGCAGGTATCTTTTGTAATCAATGACTTGATGCGATCATTACGAAATTTGTTGGTTTGTATCATAATCTATGCTGTTATACTGGTCAAAATACAAAATAACGGTCAGGACTGAATACTAATATTTGAAATAACAATTATAGCGGTGGTATAGCGGTTCATATGATATTTCTTAGAATTATATATATATATATATATGTATGCATAATAAATGTAGGGAGGTTCATACGAGAATGGTACGTATCTAAGAAAATAAGAGAATAATTGTAGGCCAATCATTTATTTGTTTTTTTTATTTTTATCAACATTTAAAAGAAGTGTGATTTAGTTTTTCATTTAAAATATTTATTTTTATTGAAGTAGTTTATTTAAGAATTTTTTACACTTTTCGTCAAAAATCTTATGTGATATCCACAATTAATCTACTTTTTTTTTTCCAAAAAAGAATCGCTAATTTTCGATTAATGTGTCATATGCGATATTGATTATAGTGGAAAAGAAATGTAAGTTATCTATAACGTTACATGTGATATGTGTAAATTACGAATTACTTTTCAAGTACATGTGATCATATACATTTTAAATGTGTTTTGCTACACATCACATGAAATTCTGTTTTCATTAATTTTCTTTTTTAATGTCTAACTTGAATCATTTTTTTCAAGCTTTAATTCACATATGATTAGGAAAACATTTTGAAACAAAATTCGTTAATTGTGAATCACATGCGACTTTGACGAAAATTGTATTTTTTAAAATATTGCTTTAAATAAAAAATGGATTCTTTAAATGAATACGCTTATTATAAATGTATTAAATATAAAATATTTTTTAAATAAAAATTTAAAGCATAATAAATTCATAAATATGGTAAAACTAGAATCTTAAATAAATGCCTTAAATAACGTTTATATAACTAAATTACTTTTATGCCCTTATTAATTTATTTTTAGAATTATTGATTTAAGGTATTATTTAATGAAATATATGGTCCATATTCATTCTCTTATTTTCTTAAATACGTACCATTCTCGTATGAACCGACTCTATATAAACATATCATATGCATTAATTAAAAATATAGTTTCAACATCACAACATCAACTTAAACAAGAAGCTGAGACTCGTGGCCATGGGACTTGTCTAAAGCAGAAGCAGACGCTGGAGTGGAGGAGGCTGTCGAACGTGGTCGTGGGACTCGTCTAAAGCAGAAGCATAGACGCTGGAGAGGGGGAGGCTGTCGAATGGGAAAAACCTACAACTTCCAACTTGGGTTGATACTTGATAGAAAGAAATTACTAACCATAAAGTGTTAATGGATTAAAATTTGTTACAGCCCAAATCAAAATAAATAGCCCAAGTAAAAAACTCAAACTAAAGACCAAAAAAACCCAACCTAAATATTGTTATTGCGGACCGCAATTTGCCTAAATATCGGTCAAAAATAGCGGTGAATTGCGCTGATCAGAACCGCTATTTGACCACCGCTGTTTTCGTAACTGATATTTCGCTGCTATTGCACCGCTATTGCGCCGCAATTAACAGCATAGGTCATAATTGACAATGTTAAAACTAGAAAGAGTATTTTGGGTACAAAATAGGCAAGTGTAATCTGTCCATGATGAATCTCGGCCAAAAAAAGTAAAAAAGCAAGCAGAAAAAGTAATGGGAAGAGGAACCTGGTGCTTGTCATAGAATTGAAATTGTTTCAGTACTAGTCTTGGTGAGTCAGACGAGGAGACAGAGACATGGAAGAATTTGAGAATTTTGGGAAGGTGCTTTGGCACTGATAGATAAATGGAACTCAGCAGGGTATATGTTTGGGAGATCTTTTTCAGGAACTTACCTTACATTAGCTCTGAAATTGTAGATTTTAAGTTTGCTAATGTTGGTGTAGTATGGCGATTGGTAGTTGCAGCAGTTTTCTTTACGATTGATTGGGTGGTTTTTTGATTTTGTATCGGAAGGTTTGTTGAATAAAATCTCTAATTATTTGTCAATGCTTTTCTTTTCATGCCAGGGTGATCCATCTTGCCTTTTGAGTTTTCATTGTCTTAGGTTTGGCAATTGCGGCATTGGTGCCAGATAGTTTCAGTATGTTTTTATAGTTCAGGGCAGTTGGTTTTTTCTGTAGTATTTTAGTTGGGTCAGTTTTCTTCTACTTGTTTTGATTTTACTTACTTTAATAAGATTTTTTACTGTTTCAAAGAAAAACAAAAAGCATTTTGGGTAGCAGTGGATATGAGAATTGTTGACATCATATGTTTGCTGAATCAGTACCATGGCCTGATTACTCTTGTTGTGGACCCTTTGTGTTCACCAAACTGTCTCCTAATCTTTGCAATATTACTTTTTGTGAAGCCTGGTTTAAGTAGAAGATGGGCATGTGTCAAATATATTGGTAAAATTTTGTTTACAGACGGCCCTTTCTTGGTATAAATGTCATTTGTGGCTTATTCAAATTCTTCTTGTCTGCTTGTAAGTTGGACAAAAAGATCGGCGTTGAGAGATATATGGTTGTAGTTATGCTAACACAGCAACTACAGACTGATTTTACTCTGTTGGTATGAGTTTAGTCTGTCCATATTAAATGTCACTATGAATTTGTGTCTTAAAGGAATGTGTATTTGGCCCTTTCCATATTATGACTTTAGAAAGGTAAACATGTTGATGTGTTTGTGTGCACAAAAGGCCTGGGACTGGTTAGGAGCAGCAAGACAGCCTGGCCAAGACTGGTTAGGGCTGCCAGATTGCCGACCCTTCTCAGAGCAAAAAACTTGCTAAGATTTGGGAGCAGGACTGGTTATGAAGGACCTTAAATTTCACATTACAAGTTTCCATGTATCTTTTACAAATTGTTTTGTTTTAAGAAGTTTCTATTCTTAGTGTCTTGGATTTATAAAGTGTTTTAAGTTCCAAGTTTTTAAATTCTTTTTAACTGAATTGAAGTTTTCAACTTTGTAATCCAATAATGATAATGTATTTTTATGAAGTTTTTATCTCAAGTTCATTTTTGTTATAGCTTACCTTCTAATTTTAAATTTTATTGTTAGAATTTACTAGGCTTATAACATTAATCACACAGTTTAGCTTTAGATTAGGCTTTGATGAGTTACATGTTAATTCACACCTTAAACGAGTAACTAGGATGTTCATTATTCCATCTCTGGTTGTAAGATTCCTTTTAGTTATGACACGTGGATTTAGGTTTTCAATATTTGAATTTTCCTTTACCTTGTTATAGTTTATAGTGGCATTTGTCATTGCTGCATCTAGTGAATGTAGTAATATGTGAAAGTTCTGTTTCATTGTTTCCAAAAGCACTGCCATAGTTTCTAATAAGAGAACTGAATGAAATAATTGATATATGTTGTAGTTGCACCTAGAGGATCTAGTTATGTGAAATGGATTAACACGAACCCTAGTGTAGCCATAGCCTTCTAGATTCGATGAGGGTGAATACACACTTTCTTAAGCCTACGGTAGAGGTTGATTTGGGTCACATGGTGGTTATTCCTTGCTAACATTTTGTTCTATGGGAATCATGGCTTTTGCTTATGTGGTTAAAAGTGGTTCAAGCTACGCTCTGAATTCATTAGAATCATTGAGATGATAGATAGCATCACTAGTTATATTCCTGTGAAGGCTCACTCATCTATTTCTCTTTTTCTTTTTGACGAGTGTGGAAAGGATCTTTTATTCGAGGTATGAGACATGTCTTGTGATAATCTTTCTTGCGACCAATTCACATTCTTCTTCTTTAATGTTTGCATGCCATATTTTCTTTTCTCCTGAAATCCTATTTTGTTCATTTTCTTGGAAGACATTGCTTTCTCAGTTTGGAGGTGTTAACTTTAGGATAATTCATATTCTGAAGCTGCATTTCTATAAGATGGGAGAAGCAAAGGAAAGGGAACGTCCCATGAATACATGAGGCTGATTCAGCTGGGGCATATTTGGTAACATTGACAGAAAAAGTAAATAGGCACAATGATGCATGGTACACAAGCTGCTCGACAAAGATAGAATGTTTATTTTGTTTTCTTACTATGTAGGACATGACAGCCTAACCAAAGGACTAGGATAAAACCATCTGAAACTGCATTATGCCCTTCTTATTACATCTATGCATGTAATTGGAACATAATATTCCCTTTATGGTTCTCTATTGTACATATTTTGTTTTAATCTAATATTGTGAACTTCTCTTTAGGCCTTGAGCTCTTCTGATAAACCAAAATTGAAGATTGGGCAATCACAGCTTGTCAACCATCCACACACTCCTCGACCGCTCTCTGTGAAGTCTGATGTTTCAAAGACGTCTACTGTGGGAAAACTTCTTGTTCTTAAGCCCTCACGAGAAAGGAACGGTATCTCACCGACTGCAAAGGAGAGTTTGAGCCCAACAGGTGGTAGCAAATTACCAAATAGCCCACTTGCTGTACCCTCAGCCATTGGATCTGCTCCACTGAGAAACATGGGTAACAATCCAGGCGTTACTGCCGTGGAGCGAAAGCCTAGTGTGGCTACTTTGGAGAAGAGACCTTCATCGCAAGCTCAGAGCCGAAATAACTTCTTTAATCTTATGAGGAAGAAATCCATGATTAGCAATTCTTCTGTTGCCCCTGATACTGGTTCTTCTGTCTCATCAAGTGAAAAGCCTGGTGCACCCGTCGCCCCTCCTGCCCATCTGGGTGGGTCTGAATCTAATACCACGGTGGAGACTAAGGTTGATTTGACCTGCAAGGGTGATGCTTGTGTTGCAACGGTGAGATCTACTAATAATGGGAAGAACCATTCAGGCCCTGATGCTGTTCTTTGTTCAGAAGAGGAAGAGGCTAGGTTTTTACGTTCTCTGGGATGGGATGAAACTGCTGAGGAGGAGGAAGGCCTCACCGAAGAGGAGATTAGTTCTTTCTACAGAAATGTAAGTATGGTAGAGTAATTTCAAATTTTTTCCACCTTACAATGCGTTGCTCTTTTTTGTTTTTTCGTTCTCATTTCAAAACATGCCCTCACAACTCATCATTAATCATTACATACAAGTAACTGAAGGTCCTTTTTTAATCATCATAAAAGACCATTACATTTTGCAAAGGTTTTATATAAATACTTGAGCTATTATGTGTGAAAATTTGATGAATATCACGTGTTGGATGACACTATTAAGATTAGCTGAATTGATGATCATGAGGAGGGACGATCATCAAGAACTGTATGAGTGCTTGTTGATTCACAACAGAATGTGAATTTGAAAAGTTGAGAAAGCCAAAAGGCCATTTTGATTTGGGACGGAGGGAATGGATTTTGATGGTCTCTACATGTAGTCTTTAGTTAGAGATGCACAAGAAAGACCAAGCCTGAAGTGCGGGCCTAAGGAGCTTGAAGCTTGGTCTGGGCAATGCCTCAGAGCCTGACTAGGTGAAATTTTTGGGGCAGACCCTGGAAAAGCCTGATTGGGTCCTTCTCCAACCTTAAAGCCTGGCCCGGTCTAAAAATCCTGGGCCTTCTTTACTCACTGAGCGGGCTTGGAAGACCCGGGCCTTGTGCATCTTTAGTCTTTAGTGTTTCTATTAGCAATTTTCAAATATTCACATTATCCAAAAGCATAAATGGTACATTTCTTGAATATGGGCAGTATCCAAAAGCACAAATGGTGCATTTCTTGAATATGCACACCATCTGAAAGCACCAAATGGTGTACTTAGATTACAGTCGTATGTGAGCATCGTGTTGACATTGAAGTTTGTGTTTGGTTTTGTTTGCAGTATCTGAATTTAAAGCCGACATCAAAAATTTTGAAGGGGACAAAGCCGAAGCCATTAATGGAGATTTCTTCCGACTCTAAGCTGGACTCTTGAGTTACCATGGTAGCAGGAAGGCGTTGATTTTCGGCAGGCTTTGTTTTTGTTTGTTTTCATCTTTGGGAAAGAGAGGAAGGGAATTGGGAAGTTTTGAAATCCTTGCAGTCGAGTACATAACATATTGGTCCAGAAAAAAAGGCTTGAACTTTGCTTTGAAGGTGTTATCCCCCTCCCTTACTTTTATGGGTTGAGATAGTAGTGACAGACTAGGGTTTAGGGATTTACAACTGGTTGTGCAAAAAAAATCTGGGGTTTTGTTGGTTTTACTTTTTTTCTTTTCTTTTCCTTTCCTTCTTGAGAGGGAGGGATTCAGCTGAATTCAACAAAAAATAGCTTATGATGGTTTATTAGGCATTTTCATGAAAGAGAATATTAGGTTTTACATGTTTCTTGGTTGGTCCCTTTACTGGTCTGATTTGCAGGTATAACCAGAGGTGGGCAAATATCAATCGTGCGTGTTTTTGGCTAGTCGTTCCGTAATTGGTCCTAGCTGTAACCGGTTCTTGAATGCCATCATGTAAGAATTAAGCGACACATGATTGTACTAAATTCAATGGTGTATCATCATCATCATCATCCCCTCTTAAGAAGTGCATCAAAAGTTATATGGCCATGTTTTAGACCCTACTTCTGTATGGGACTTAATGGGTTCAGACATTTTTGATAATACACAACTTTTAATAGAAGAGGTGGAAAAAGACACCAGTGATAGTAATGCCCTAACATGGTCCTAGTACCTTGTTCGTATATGGTCTTACTGATGTATACGACTACTTGCACATGTACAGATGGTCTCCGGTGTCGTTTCAAAATCCTTGTAAACTTGTTTTGACAAATCTCCTGTCTATAAAACCTATTTTACAAGAAGAGATGGCCTGTGTGGATATCATATGCTTTAGTTTGATATGTTAAAGTAGTCAATTGGTTGATTTGAAGCAACAATAAATATACAATGACATGTTATCTTGTGATGATGATGGTGGTAGGCACATGAGGTCCCTTAGCCCCTAAGATACCAATGCCTTACTCGCCTCAATTATTCGTCATCTTCCATGCTTTTCTTCTTTTCTTTCCTTTTATCAAACTGTAGATGTTGTTGGTGATTTGATTCACTTCTTTTAATGATTTTTCTTTTTGGTATTATCACATGTTTATGACTAAATAATTATCCGGTAAGTGTGATCGTGTAACTTTTCTCACTTGATCGCATATGGCAAGGGCTGAAAATCTTACCTGGTAAGAGCGATGATAGAGATAGTCTTACGCGGTAAGTGATGGTGAGGAGTCTTGCCCGGGTAAGCGTTTACCGGGTAAATTGTTGCATACGATACTGTTTTAATATACTACGATCTTATATGGTAAAATTGATTATAGTGTTTCACTCTTACACGTAAGCGCTTACCGGGTATGTATTTGGGTATACGTCCCCTAAGTTGTTTTGAATTGAATATATTCATATAAAAAACTGAAGTAGATATTATCAGTATAATTATTTTGTAAGTTAGTTCATCTCTGAAATTTAATAATTTATCGAGGATCTAATTCAAAAATTAACATACATATCTGGTATCTATGACAAGGATTTACTTCTAAAACAGTAAAAGAATGGTTCTAAAAGAGTTACATATGTATATGTATGTATGTATGTGTTATGGAGACATGTTCAAATGAGAACGCTAACTATTTAAGAAAACAATAAAAAGTCGTTAATTTACAAAATCATATATAATTCACACCCCTATCCATGAATTTCTCCATCACGTACATAAATATCGATACCTAATTTTATGTTCTTAATGTATAAATTAACTTAATTTTAACATAAAAATGGTGCAAATAACATTCCCACCGAAGAATTGCTATTTACACCCTTCTTTAATATTAAAATCAGATCAATTCATACATTAAAAATATAAAAAATAAGTTTGAATGTTAATATGTTGTATCAATAACCAAAAAAAGTCTGTTGACTCTTCACTGTGACCATCACTCTGACAGCAGCTCAAAGAAAGCAAAGGGGGAAAAGAAGTGGGGGCCCTTCCTTACTCACCCTTTACTAATTACTCCTCACTTCCCACCACCACACTTCTCTCACCGGACCACAAGCCATGACCGGCGCTACCAACCATCACTTCCAACCGCCGACGTCGCACCACCACCACCAACCACCACCCGCGTCGCGTCACCACCAACCGCCCAGTTCGCATCACCACCCACCGCCCATGTCGTACGACCAACAACCCCTCCCATCGCCTCCGTCGCATAACCACAACCACCGTTACCGCCACCGAGAACACTACTACCCACACTCGTCCTCCTCCTCCTCTTCCGCCTCAATTCGAGGCTGCTGTTGCTGCCTTATCCTCCTCTTCTCCTTCCTTGCCCTCCTCGTTCTCACCGTCGTCCTCGTCATCGTCCTCGCCGTTAAACCTAAAAAACCGCAGTTCGATCTCCAACAAGTGGGCGTTCAATACATAAACCTCGCCGCCCCCGTGAATGCTCCGACCACCGCGTCTCTGTCCCTGGCCATACGCATGCTGTTCACCGCCAAAAACGACAACAAGGTGGGGATCAAGTACGGAGTGTCGACGTTTAATATCATGTACCGTGGGATTCCCTTGGGTCGGGGCACCGTACCCGGGTTTTATCAACCCGCTCACAGTGTGAGGCAGGTTCAGACCACGGTGACGGTGGATCGGGTGAATCTGTTGCAGGCGGACGCTGCTGATTTGGTGAGAGACGCTTCGCTTAATGATCGGGTCGAATTACGGATCATGGGTGATGTCAATGCCAAGATCCGGATCCTGGGGTTAACTTCACCCTCTGTGCAGGTTAGCACCTTGCATTGTCTTTCACTATTTTCAAGAAGATGATGCTAATTTAGTTATGGATGCCATTGTTGAACTGTGTCATTGCTCAGTACTATTAGGTTGGACAATTGGATCATATAGCATTCGACAAAACTCTTAAAAACCATTTTTAACCATTTTTTATGCATGAAGTACTGTTTATTGATGCATGTTACTTAAAATTTAAGATTACAAGTAAATTTATAAATAAGTTTAACTTATTAAAGCTCCATATTTGAATTCGTATAACTAACTATAGATAAATATAATTAAATACAGAATAAAATTCTCGTTTTAAAAAAATCTAGAATATAATTAGGATAATCATTGAGTTATAACATAATACTTAATTATTATCTTTATAAAAAATTATATTATTAGACCTAAATTAAATTTATTTGTTACTAAACTTAAATTAAATTATAATTAAAAAATTTGAATTAAAGAAATTACACTAAAACATAAGAACTTTTAGGAAGATTAATTTGATAGTGATATCAATATATATATATATATATATATATATTTTAAATTTATATTTATTCAAAAATAAAAACATTATCGCTTTCTCAAAACCACATAAAACCTTATTATATCGACATAAAAAAAAGAATAAAACGAAACACTAAAATCAATATGTGTCTCGATGCATTGCACGAGTACCCTTCTAGTAGATATATGATTAGGCTGGTACACACTATTTTGATCGTACGGAGGTTAGACTTTTGTCTGTCTTGCTAAAGCACCTTAACCCACGTATAAAGACCATCTCCAACAGCCACGTAATTTTAACAGCTTTTTGCTCCAAACAACTATGCTATCTTGTATGTTAAAATAGAGAAAATAAAAGATAAATTTTTATTTTATATTTTCTTACCATTAAGAAGTATTGAGAATAAGTGTGTATGAGAGAAAAATAATATTTTATTAAACGTATTTAATATTTTAATAATATAGTTACTGTTAGAATTGCTAAAATAAAGTAGTTGTTGGTAGGGGTGCTCAAAAATCCGACCAACCCGATCAACCCAACCCAACGTGAAATAACCCAACCCGAAGCAACCCGATGTCTAATCGAGTTGTAAAATTGTCAAACCGTAGGTATTGAGTTGATATTGGGTTACTATTATTTGAACCCAACCCAACCCGATGAACCCGATATTCTTTTATTTCTTGGATTTAATATGATTGTTGAATTTCTATTAATATATACATTAGACAATTACACTATCATGTATGCTTTTCATATACACATATTTTCAAATTATTCATATCTCTATATAACTCATTGATATATATGTTCAGTAACTGTGAACATATATATGTAAATTGAGAAAATTAACTGAATGTAATATACGTAAGAAATATGGATAAGTTGTATCAAATGGTTGATGATGAAAAAGAAATTATGAGTAGAGAAATAACATATTCAAGGTTAGAAGAATATTTTAATATACCAAAGTATCAACCCGACCAACCCGTACGGGTTGGGTTGGGTTGCACTTTGGTTTGGGTTGGGTTAAGATTTTCCCAAACCGCAAGCATTGGGTTGGGTTGTTCAGCCCGGACCGGGGTCAGTATAGAATGAAGGTCCCTTTTAAGGTCTTTTTAACTATGTAGGTATCCTCCCTTGCTTATCTTTAAATGCCCCCTCTTGGATTGTTCAAATGTCTTCAACCCGATCAACCCAACCCATGAGCACCGAGTTGAAGGTAACCATTTATATGTTTTAGAGAAAATTTAGTATAACTATTGTTGGAGATGCTTTTGTAGAATGAGTGAGAGGTTTGAGTTTCGACTCTACACACTACCTAGTTGGGACCCACATTTTTACCTACACTTGTGGGACCCCATGATTTACGGACCCACATTTTTACCCACGCTTATGGGACCCCATGATTTACCTTCTTACGAAGGTGGTGGGTCCGGTACAGTGGAGTCACTCTAAGTTAGAGATGGCCAAATGGGCCCGGCCCGGCCCGTAACCGACGGAGGACCGGGACCGGGACCGGAGAGGGACCGGTTGAGGGACCGCCGGTTATGATCCGGTTAGGGTTTTTGACGTTTTTTGGGACCGGGACC